ATAGATTTCCCACCATGAGTGCATTACTACTCTTCTTCACAAGAGTAGTCACGCAGAGGCTTATCTAGTGTTCTCTGAGACTGGAACGATCACTCTTCTTCATAAAAGTTGCAACGCTGAAAGTCGAGTTATGCGCGTGTTCACTTTCATGAGCAAAAGTGGTCACGCGCAACTTGCATAGCTACATGTCTCTCTAGAACAATCACTCTTGTTAGTGAGAGTGATAACGCGCTACTCGCTAAACATGAAGCTTGTCTGGAACATCCACTTTCACCAGCGAAAGTGATAACACGCTCTTTGTTGTGAATGAGGTTCCTCTGGAACATTCACTTTCATTAGTATTAGTGTCAACGCGCAACTTGCTAACTTTGGAACTTGTCTAGAACGTTCACTTTCACCAGCGAAAGTGACAATGCGCCTTGTGTTCTGCTAAAAGACTCTCTGGAACACTCACTCTTGTGGATAAGAGTGATTACGCATAGATTCCACTCCATATTTAAGCTCTGGATCAATCACTTTTGCCAGTAATAGTGATCACGCCCAGCTCCAACTCTATTAAACCTTGTTCTTTGCATCCAATTTTGCTACTTTTTTTTTCTATTTTTCCATTGATCTTCCAACTTCATGAACTTTACTCAGATTTTCCTACAAAAACAAGATTGAATTATTAATTTCTACACAGAAAATTCATAAATGCTAAAATACCAATGTATCTAAAAGAAAACCTTAACTATTCTATTTTTATGAGTTTTTCTACTTTTTCCAACATATTTTCTTTATCAAATGGATTAAAACTAGAGTAAAATACTAGTCAAAATGTGGATTCATCATAGAGTTCAAAGATGATTAGGAAATCTAAGAGAAACATAGAGTGGTGAATAACATTTGCGTATGCATTCACACTCTTCTGAGAGGAATATGTCACATGGCCTCACACTTGTTTCCTGACTATATCTTTTCTAAGGGGCTGTTATTGTATACGTTGTATCTTTGTGTAAGGACTATCTGACAACTATTTACCTAACTGTGTAAGACCTCATGATTGTTAAAGGCATCAAATATTTATAATCATAGTGCACAAGAAGTGCATATTTCAGAGAGAAAGGTGTTATGATTTGTATATGAGCATGTATAATTTTGTGGAATTTGTTGATGAAATAGATTTGGGTATCTGAGGTGTAAATATTTCCTTTTAATTTCATGGGTAAAAGTTATGTTGTGAATTTATATTAATGTAATTGCATTATGTTTAATGGTAAGATAGATGCCCATCCTTACTAAACATTTTAGGGAGCAAGGATGATTGAATCGTGAGGGGTGATTAGATTAGTAGATTACTGAGTAAACTATAGGATAAACCATGTATTGAGTAAATATCAACATTTTTATTATTTTAAATTTACTGTAGACCATAATAATGTATCGGATAATGTTTATACTTTAGAAATGGACTTAGACTATAGTGTACCTTTAGACTTTATTGGAAATAGTAGGATTCACTATACCCTTAGTACACATGTTTATAGAGGGATAGTCAGAAGAACTCCGACAACTGCAAATTACTAATATACTTTCCTGAATCACGATCTTATTGGAAGACACCCCGTTGACTGTTGAGCGAGTAACAGGTGTTGAGGTCGAGGCTTATTCAAGAGACTTTGGAAAGGTGAAAATTTGACTCTAGAGGAGCTGGCGGAGATAGAGAACTGGTACGACGTTGATGACTAGGACTAAGTCCTTAGTGATTAATTGTGGGTGTGGATAAGAACTATTCTTGGAACTTAGTTTATTTTGACCTTGTAATTATCCATTCTAACACCTAATGTATTTTGAAAACAATTTATAAATATTAAACTTATAGATGTAATAAAATTTAACTATGTACATTATTTTTATTGATTCCTGTACAAATATGTTTATTTAAAGTGTATAGTTTACACTTTATTATTCATAAAATCTACAAAATATTCATTGATAAACTTATTGAAAGGAAAGTTTTAATTTTGTCAGATTTCCTATAATAAACTCATTTTATTTATTTTATCTTGTCATAAATTCTATATACATTTTGAAGCAAGAAATTAAGAGCATTAAAATTTGGTATTAGAGCAGTTCATCCTAACAAGCCTATGGTATGAGACTAGTTCATTTATAGTGTGTACTCTTATATTCTTGCTTTGCAAAAATATGAATTGATTGTTTGTTAATATAACCTATTTGATTTTCAAATAGGGAATTGCGAAGAGTATGTGTATCTTGTGTATGTGTGAATGGTAGTTTTTGATATGTTTGGTTGATTTCTCTTAAATTAGAACTATTTTTTAGGTTTTTTTTTTTAAATTACAAAACTTTTTACATCGGTTAAATAAACAACCAATCTAAAAAGTAATTTTTACATCAGTTCCAAAAATAACTGATGTAAAAGGTATTTTTTACGTTGGTTATCTTTCGAAATTAATATAAAATCAATTCAAATTTAAAAATTTCATATGCACATTAGTAAAATAACGTAAATTAGAGACAAACAAAGACTTTAAGTTTTTGAAGTTTTTATTAGGAACATGCATGAACAGCGGATACGACAATGGTTTTTTTAAGTAAATCGATAGTTTTATCTTGTTTCATTCTCTATTTTCTTTCTCATTAAACAATTTGATGAACACTGCATATTTTTCATATTACAGATTCAAACAAAAATGAACAATGACAAATACAACAAACATGACGAACATGATGAATACAAACATTTATGGATTTTAATTTAATTTAAATAATGTTTTAAATTCTGAGAAAATATATTGATAATTTTGATGTGAATATTAAAATTATTAGAGAAGAGAAACACTTACGCTATTAATGAAGACAAACATGAACAGAAAGAATATTTTTTACATTAATTATTATAAATAACTAATATAAAAAGTGTCACTTTTTATATTAGTTATTAACAATCAATGTAAAAAAACTTACACTTTCTACGTTATCTATATAACATCAGTTGCATCGAGATATCACTTTTTACATTAGTTATTAACAATTGATGTAGAAAAATCTACACTTTCTACGTCATCTGTATAAATATATGAGTTGCACCAAGATAAAAAGCTTTTTTTAATTGACATAAAAAAAAAATTTCTGCTAGTTTTAACTATTGGCTATGAAAATGAAAGTCAAATGACATGCCTTAAAGCCCATAGTAAGCAAAGAAGCACATGTTCGGTGGACTTTCACCCATACCAACCATATCTGTGACGCTATTCAAAGCTACATTTATAAATCAAATGCCACAAAGTTTGCCGCTCAACAAACAAGAGACCACTTCGCCAACCGGCCATTCCAATATGAAGTTAGACCAACAAATTAAGGAAACACACCGTTAGTACATGTAAAATATTGTACACTATTATTGCACACATAAAAAAATAATTTAATATTTAAAATTAACATATAAAATATACAGTTAAATGTATCTTAAATTTTAATATATTTGTTTGTATATGATTTTACTCACACTAATAATTAAGTGTCTATTAATTTGTACAGAAGAAAAACAACTGTGAATAATATGCCTTCTGTACATGATAAATTGCTTTAGATCCATAATAAATGCAATGCTTAAATGTAATTTTTTAAGTCAATATTTTTGTGAATTTTTTATTTGAATTACCATAAATTATTCTGTTTACTTTTTTATCCTATTTTTATAGTATTCAGCTTTGATTTTTCTTATTATGCTATTCCACAAAAAAATCAATACATAAAATCTCTAAATTAATAATATCATTTAATTATCATTAAAGATAAAAAAAAATTATATTTATACAATGAAAAATAAAAGGTAACAAAAATATATTTAATCTAAAATATCATGGTGGTAAAAATCGGACCAGTTGGGTTGACCCTCTGTAACCAGTAGTTTTTGCACCGCTAAATCGGCCTCAGTTAGTATCGACCGATTTGGATCTGAACCGATTTTATTGTTACAATAAATAAACTGTGCTTCCTATAAAACTTTTAAATTTTAGAAAGTATTTTATACTTTCTTAAGATTAATGATTGTAATTTTTTTATTATCTTAAAAATTAGAAGTTATTAATGTTTTTCTAAACTAAACCACTGAATTATGTATAAAAAAGGATAACAAACTCTTTTAATTAGAAACGGTAGGTAAATTTTATTTAAATAAAGTATAATAAATAATCCGAGGAGATTCAAACTCACGACTATAACTCATGACTACTATCTTTTGTTGTATAAAAGTATTTTTTTTATTAATTAAACTTAACATAAATAATTAATTCTACAAAATTTTATTGATAAAAACTTAAATAAATTTCTAGCAATGTAAAAAATTATACTTATTTTATTCCGTGACGGGCGTTTTACTTGAAGCAACTTTTTTCTTTTCTTTTTCGGGTGAAATATTTACGCTACTTTTCAATTCGAGGTTTTAGCACCACATCATCAGTGGAGTTAAAAGCAAGTAAAGGAAATAAATCTCGCAGACGCACTTAACAAGATGTTAAAATCTACGCTTTACAAACTAAATTCCTGCATGCTAAGAATTATTTATATTTTTCAACTGCCTAAGTAAATTTTTGGATAAACAATGAATGTTACCCTTACAACCCAAACGATTTAAAAAAGGGCTATGATTATTTCAGAATCACTGAAAAAGTATAAATGGTAGAGGTAAGAGAAATATAAACCTACAAAATATGATAAAGGATACGATATAGAGTTTTATTATGTTTTTTGATATATCTTTTTAATAATTACTTTATTATTTTATAAGATATTATATAAAAATATTTAAAACGTATATATTTATTAATTAAGATTATTTAAAAGTATAAGAGTTGAAAAATTAAAATTATCCTATTGCAAAAAAATATAAAATATGAGTGTAAAACAATAATAATAAAGAAAATATTAGAGAAGAAAGAGAAGGTGCGTGGAGAATGATAAGGTGAGGCAGCAATTTGGCACCACCTACTTTTGCTTTGCTTTTCAGCTACGCTCCGTGCTTTACTCTCTGGGATGCCCCGTCTCCACTTTCCCTTGTTTGGATGAAAAATTAAAAGCAATTTGAGGAGTGATGATAAATTTAACATAATGGGTTCTGTGGGTAACTCAAATCCGTGGGCACCAAATACTGCTCTGAAGGACTGTTCTCAGGGGATATGCAGCATCTATTGTCCCCAGTGGTGTTACATCATCTACTCCCCTCCCCCTCCTTCAATCACACTTGAAGACGATGACACTGATTCTGGATTTGAATTCTCTCCTCTCATAGTTGCTGTCATAGGAATCCTTGCAAGCACCTTCATTTTGGTCACTTACTATACCATTATCTCAAGGTTCTGCAGACACAGAGGAGGCAGATCCAATGACCCAACTGATCAGGATGATGGCAACACCGAATTCGCCCATGTTCCTTCTTCTTCTAATTCTGGTTTGGATGAAGCTCTCATCAAATCCATCACTGTTTTCAAGTACACCAGAGGTGGTGGGTTGGTGGAGGGTAACGACTGTTCTGTGTGTTTGAGTGAGTTTGAAGAGAATGAGAGCTTAAGATTATTGCCAAAATGCAACCATGCCTTTCATCTCCCTTGTATTGATACTTGGCTCAAATCCCATTCCAGTTGTCCTTTGTGCCGTTCCATTATCTCTTCTTGTCCAAATCCAGCGATGGAACCACCATCAACTGTCAGTATCAATGCCTTGGAATACCAACAAAGGAGTAGTGATGTTGTTGTGATTATTCAGCGCTTGGAATGTCCTCAACAACAAGTTTTGGTTAGTTTTGGTGCTCAAGTTCCACCAAAGTTGCCAGTGGAAGAAGAACAGATAAACAGGCATGACCTTAATTGTAGTGCGAATCAAAGAAGGGTATCTGATATAGGATCATCAACATAGATGAAGCCAACGGGAAAAGTGGGGTGGTGGATATTGGGATGAGATCTGCATCCAAGGGGAGAAGGATCTATATTGACGAAGTATATCCATGGTAAGGGAATGAATTCTATGCTTCCAAATTGATTATATCTTCCAAATCTCTGAAACTTATCAGCTTCTGTAATTAAAAGAAATTCTCGAAGATCAGGATCATGGATTGTGAATTCTACCGAAATTTTAACCCTCGTAATTTGTTCTAGCAATTTGTAAGATCTCTATATCGTGGTGGAATTATTTTGTCAATTAGTTTTTTACTTTGTTTCTTCAATATTAAAATGATCTATTGTGTAGTATGGTACGAAGGAGATTTCACTGGCTAAAATGATACGTAAAGTGAAAAAGCAAGTATATATTTTCTGTTAATTTAAATAATTATCATAAATAATTAACTTCTAAATTAAAGTAAATAAATATTTAATTTAAAATAGTCAAATCCATGTCAAGTGACAAGTAACATGCAAATTAAAATTTCAGTATAACATGCAATAAAATGAGATGGAGAATGAGGGTGAAGAGTTGTCAAATAATAATAGTGGCCATTTGAATTGATCATTTAAAGTGGTTGCTTTTTATTTTATTTTTTCTCAATGATTTGGTACTATTAATGATTTTTCTTCTCAAATAGCACTGCCTAAATGAGTTTATGATGCAATTTGAAATGGTAAAGGCTAAACGGGTGTTATGGTCAGATGGGTAATCATGTGAAGAGCAGGAGATGGTTTCACGGGGCATTTTTCTTTTACCAGATTCACGGCATCTCAACGTCTTTTTATTTCATTATCTTTCAGAATACGGTACTCGCAGAATTTTCGAATCTGTCACCACGTGGGTAAGGCTAGAGGTCATTAGTAGCAGAATGAGTCAACCTCCATTTTCTTTTGGGTAGAAATAAATATATGAACAAATTTCCCCGGGGAAAATGAACTAATATTAATCATTTAAATGAATTGATCATTTAAAGTGGTTGATTTTTTCTCCCTCGATGATTTGGTACTATTAATGTTTTTTCAATATGTTCCACTCTTAGTGAGTCTACCATGACTCTCATTAATTTTTAATATGTTTGGCTCTGATACCAATCAGTTATTTCTTAAAAATTATAGATTTATATACAAAATACTTATTCGAAGTTTTAAACATTTTTGAGAGCCATAAAAAATACATCTTTTCTCCCAGAATGTTATAAATAATTATATACACCTATTTACATATGTGTTTTTAAGATTTCATTCATTTCCTTACAAACTTTTCAAAATGATAATAATGACAAAGATTTAATAAATGTACACATATGTATATTTTTTATATTAGTTCTAATTATATCTAAATCATCAAATTAACTATTTTATACAAAAACACTAATATCATTTAATGATATAATATTAGATTGCTAATTAGGTTAGAGGCCTTTCTAATTTTTCTTAATTATTCAAATTAATACATCATTAGAAAAAAACCAAAGGTTTTCATGGTAACTCTAAGTACAAACATAATTCACATTGCATCTAAACTAACAACCTTGGTCAGAAGTTATTTTCTAAGTAGCTCATCTCCTATTATAGCATCTAAATTAATCAGTTAGTTATTTCTTAAGTAGCTCATCTCCTATTCCTCTAGTCTACTTGGAGAAAGGTCATGATATATACTAAGATATGCCATAACATAGTGAAAAAAGAATGAGACTTCAACCCTCACCACATAAGTAATAATTACATGAGCAATTAATGGATCATTTATAATAGTTATAGTAAGAATTACATTTTCTATAAATATAACTATCTAGTTGATGGTATTGTAATCTCATCTCCGAGTCCTCATGGAAAATACCATGCACTGATGACTCCAAAGTTTATTATACATCCATAACATTGTTAAATAACACAAAATAAAGAAAATGTGGGTATAACTATTTATAAATTATTTCATAAGGCAAAATACTCAATTGCTAATAAATATAAAATAATAATTAATCAATCATTAAAAGTTTCAATATCTTTTCATTATGTCTTTTTCATAGAGTAATTAGTTATCCATCACTTAAATTTTATTATTAAAAAATGGGAAGTGCATAATCATCTCAAAATATGATAACTTCTAATGGCTCACACTCACACCAATCATGAGAAGCTCTCGACTAGTTAGGTGCACAACTATGCATACAACCCAAAGCATGAGCGTGCTTATCCTTTTTTTCCATCAATTCATGCCCAAAACACCTCAAGAATCCATAAGAGCTCTTAACATATTAAATTGCGATAATTAGTAGAATAATTCATGTAAAACTCATTCAAATAAGGATCAAGTACATAAAATAAGCTACAAAGCATGCCAAAATACAGACTTATCATCACTATAGTTTAATATGTTTTCTTTGTCTACAACACAAGTTAGCTAGATCTGGTTGTTATCAGTACTTGGGTACTTAACTATCATCATTGGTAATTACTTTAACCAATCACTTTTTGCCTCATGTTTGTACTTAGAGTTATTCAATCACTTTGTTATGCAATTAATTCATAATCATAACATCAACCAATAGCAAATCATAGTCCATAATTTAGTACACATGGTACAAATATGAATTAGACACAATTCCCTTATACAAGAGAAAGATTCATTATCATGGACATGACCGATTTCAGATTTTCTCAGATTTCATGCATAATATTGTAAAATTCATAACTTACTCAATATAAGTCAAAAGATCATGAAATCAACAGAGTTATCTTCCTTTAGGTGTCAATTTTTATTAAAAAATATACAAGCATAGACAAGACGCTTATAAAGTGCACTACGAGTTACAGATTCTCTCTATAAGTCACAAAAATATTCCTATGTTAGTTTGTTAGAAAATTCAAATCTAATTAATTTCATTTTCAAAAGTTATAAAATCAATGAAGTTGTTTTCTTCTAGGTATCTATTTTTATACAAAAATATACGCATAACTCAGACAAGTTATAATTCAACATGAGTTATAGTTTCCCTTTACAATTCACAAAACTGCATTTTAATAGAAAAATCATAACTAATTCATTTTAAATCTAATTTCCTCAAAATCAATGGGTGATTACTCCTAAAAAATAGTATTGTATGTAAATAAAATTTCTGTGATTTATATCTAAATAGTCCCTGTAATTTATAGTTTAGTCTTTGAACTTTATTTTATTGCAAAAAGGTCCCTTTCATTTAAAGTTTGCCAACCTAAGCTATGTTGTATGTTTTTTAATCTAAATCATAAGATATTCCTAAACAATAAATATTAACAAATATAGCTAGGTGGACATATGCATATATCCCACACATAATGTACATTATTATTAACAGTTTTGAGATGTCCCTATTATTATTAACAGTGTCATCCTAATTATTATGTTATTATGTCAAACTTAGAGACTAAAATAAATTTAATTTGCTAAATAAATGGATAAAGCAATATATCCCACACATAATGTACATATGCATATATATAGAGGGTTATTGTTCAGCTGTAGAAAATATAATACATACCTCCTATATTTCCTATATTATTTAGTTATATTGCAAACCAAAGGAAAATGAAGGTCAAGTGGAAAGATCTTAAACACTCATAATTTACATATAACCTTTTTTAAAAAAAAAAAAAAAACTTTGACTAGATCACTCTCATCTAGTCCTCTAGAGGAGGATCAACATGAATGCCCAAGTAAGCCACTGCATAATATATGGGATAGGGGATCTTATCCCTGACAGAGCTTTGCATAATTATAGGAGCAATATAGGAGTTGTTAATGGTAGTAATAGTTAGTATCACATAACTCATAAAGATAATAGTTTGATTAACATTATTATGACTTCATGTTCCTAATCTCATACTAAAATTCATGTTTTGCTCAGGAATAGAGATATTCCCAACACTCATTCAGCATCCATAAAATATTTAATAGACACAAAATAAAGAGAAAGTGAGTAAATCATTCATAAATTATTTCATAAGGCAATACTAATCACTAATAAATTCATTAACAAGCATTCCAGAGTTTTTTTATCTGTATTATTTTTTCTCCATGGATTAATTAATTGTCCATTTAATTTTTTGAGTTGAAAATTGAGAGTTTTGTGCCCGCAATCCATATAGTGTCATAGGTACAACATCCCAAATAGGGAACTGAGTATCAGCGCACAAAATCTATTATGATCACTCCTAGTGGTCCACACTCTAACTAATCTTGGTATGCTTTAGTGCCTGTCAGGATAGTTTAGCATATTTCTCACTGTCTGAACCACAAATTAGCTAGGTTTGGTCTCTTGCTAGGACTTAGGTACTTCGTTATCTGGTTTAGTAAAACCAACACTATTTGTCCCTCGTCCGTGCTTAGCATTTTCAACCATTATTCTTATGAATTATTTCACAATCACAACTAGAGTTGGCAAATAGGCCAACCTCACCCATTTAGCCTTGACCCATGTGGCTAGGGCTTAAAAGCCCAATGGACTGAATAGCCCTCAATCTAAAAAGCCCATAGGGTCAAAAAGCCCATAGAGCTTACTAGGTTAAAATTGGCCCATAGGTAAGCCCACAAAGACACACATACTATATTAGATTTATAAATACTCACTATGAATAAAGGTCAAATAAAAAAAATAAGGAACGATTATATGGAATTAGCTACGTCAATCAAACTATTTTACAAAGTTATACAAATTAATTTCTTGTGGAAAACGTGTTAAATAAGATTTCTTGCTTGGAGTTGCTTGTGCTTTTCTGGAGTGAGTTTCTTTAGTCCAAACATCTACTAAGTGCCTACAACAAATAAAATAGAGGTTACAAAAAAGTAAAATAAAAGCAAGATGATTTCACCAAAAATATAAATAAATAAGACCAAGATAATACTTTCAACTAATAAGGAAAATTTAATTCAAATGTAATCTAGTCATGGCATGGTATCATATCCTAGCTGAGACAAGGACTTCTTTACATTTTTGCTTTCCTCAGACATTGTTTGCCTGCATCATCAACTTTGTTCCTGTCTTGTCCAGCAAGATCAATAAGGCTAATTATGTTAGTTTTTGAAATATTGAAACCATTTGATGAGATTCCTTGCATCACTAGTCAATGAAAATCAGAGGTATCAATTAGCAATTAACTAGTAGAAAAAATTAATAATATGATAGCTTTGGCAATACCTTACACCATGGCTCAATCACAAAAGTGAAAACAATAATGAAAACAATATTTGCTATGATGCTTCCTAGTCCATACCTTAATCAGAATTTATGTCACAT